TTTGATCATATGGCCAATCAAGATATTGATAAAAAAAATTTAAAACAATGCTTACAATTATTAATTACTGTTGTTTCAAATACAATCAATATACTTGAACGACAAACAAATCAATCAAATGAAAAACATATATTAAATAATCTTCAAATAACAATAATAAATCTATTAGATTGTAATCTTTCATCTTTATCTTCTCAATGTCGAAATTATCTTTTCAATATATTAAATCAATATAATTATAATATTGAAGAAAATATATTTACAATTGAATTTACAAAAGAAATATTACAACCATTTGTACATAATCTTCAAGGTAGATTATCTTTACTTGATGCTTGTCAAGCAGCATGGAATGGAGATCTATCATTTATAGAAGATTTTATTAGAAAATATCCAACATTAATAAATAAATGTGGTCTTTATGGAACAACACTTTTATATTCTGCAGCAAGAAATAATCATTTTGATTTAGTTAAATATCTTATTGAAACAAGTAACTGTTCAGTTAATGTAAAAAATGAAGATTATTCTGAAAAAAGTGAAGAATCAAAATTAAAAGCATCTACAGGTTCAACACCATTACATGTTGCTTGTTTTTATGGACATTTACAAATTGTAAAATATTTAATAGAAAATGGAGCTGATTATTTTATATTAAATAATATAGATGAAACTCCAATTCAAAATGGACAATCCAATAAAAATATTCAAAAATTTTTTGATGATTTTCTTTTATTTGGTTATTCAAAAAAATTAGATAAACTACCAAATAAAACAATTCTTGAAGAAATTAAACAAAATATAGAAGTTATCGATTGTATTTGGGAATATAAACCATTTTCTCAAGATCAATGGTTACCAGTTTCATCAGAACTATCAGTACAACTTCAACAATCTTTAATTATTAAGTCTGATGAAACATTTAAAACTGAAATCGTTTTAAAAACATCAAAAGATATTTATCATGTTTCAATTGCACAATTTTTATATTCTATTATAAATGATAATCAAACAGAAAATTTTACTTGGATTCGTTGTCGAGGTTCATCTCTACTCAATTTTCATTGTTACTCACAATGGCAAATTATGTTTATTAAACATCCAATAGGTATAACAAATAATTCAACATCAATAGAAATATTTGATATGACAAAAAATAAAATACAATTTAATTCATGGTATAATTCTAATATAAAAATTAATTTTTTATTGGAAAGAGCAATGAATTATCGACAAAAATATATAACTATCAATTTAAATTTTATTAACAATGAAAAAATTATATTTGATCTTGAAAATTTTACATTTACTAATCAACAAAATACAATTCAAGGTTTTTTAAGATGGATACCAAAAATAATACTCAATAATAATAAATTAACAATTGTTGATAATTTTCAATTACCTACTGATTTAGATTTAATATTACTTACTGTACCGTATTTAAATCAAGTGAAACTTAATGAAACTATTTCAAAAGATGAAATGAATCAATATGACTTGAAATTTGGAAGTATTTTTGATAAAAAAATTTTAAATTCTCAAGATCAGGTTAGAATATCTGTCGAATAGAACTTATTATTTATTTAGTAATAGATAAACCCAAGATATTAATACTAAAGACAATTCGGAAACTCTAAAACTATCGAGTAGTTACTAGTTTTTTCTCTATATCTTTGATTAGCAATGAAAACCAAAGTCTATATCAGAATTCCCGATCTGATCCTTACTTTTTTTGAAAACCAAATGTTGATGCATCACCTTATTATCCAAAGATATTTTGACGAATTCAACAGTATATACGTGAATTGAAAATCAGTCTAATATGTCGTAGAACTTTCATTTGATTGTATAAATCTGTTTAATTCGTCATTCCCTATTTTCTTTTTCTATTGTTTTTTCGTATGTTAGTATTTCTCTACTGATATTAGATGTGAGATGAAAATACCAGAATCTGCTATTTCATTACTTTAAAATTCAAGATAAAACCCAAAATCTTAGTCACATGAAGTACTCTGTATATAGATTTGTGATTACGTCAATAGTCTTAACATAATAGGATGATGATGACATAATGAAGTAACGAGGCTACAAATGTCAAATAAAAATCAATGAACAACAGTTTCGATAGTTTGGCGTAGAGCGATAGCTCGATCATGATCTTTGGCAAGCATTCAACAATTCAAAAAATGAAAAATGCTCTTTAAAACTACTAATCTCTTTTTATTTGATTATAATAATTTATTTTCTTTTTTTCCAGCAATCAACATGTGAAAAAAAATTGAAGATTTTAGTAAATGTTATTCGAGGTGATATCATAAATGAACAAGTAAATTTATTATCTTTGCAAAAATATAATATTGATTATAACATATTTAGAGTGATGTTATTGTAATATGTTCTTTATCAAAAAATTTAGTTGAAACTGTTCTTGTAGCAGGTGGAGATTCTCTACGAAAATTATTTAAAATGAAAATAAAAGAAATTCATAAAAGTTGTATTGTTAGTGTTACTACAGATGGTAGACTTCCATCAAAAGCAATTTATTTTGTTCTATGGGAACCTAATTCTGATCCTAATATACTTTGTCAGTCAATACGAAAATTAGTTTCAAATGTTATAGAAAAAGCAATAAATGAAAATTATAAAAGTATTGCATTTCCAGCTATTGGTTGTGGTGAATATGGATGTTCAATTCAACTTATTGCTGAAACATTTATTGAAGAAATTCATGAACAGTTAATTGAATATTCGATGAAAATTTTATTTATAATTCAACCAAATAGAATAGATATTTATAATGAATTTCAAAAACAACTTAATATATTTCAATCACAACAAACTTCAACATCACAATCAATCTCAATAATGATTGGAGAAGGAAAAATTGAAATTGAACAAGGAGATATTATAGAACAAAATGTAATTATTTTTATTAATTTAAAATATTATTTACTCTCTCTCTCTCTATCTTGCTTTTTCTTGTTAAATCCAACATAGGTCGATGTTATTATAGGAAGTTCATCATCAGAAAATTTAAGACAAGCTTTAATAAAATCTGCAGGATATGAAGTTGAACATGCTTATAATCAAGCTTATGAAGATAATTCAAATTCATTAATTTTTTCAACTCCATCAGGTCAATTACCTTGTAAAGAAATTTTTTTTATCAAATGGAAACCAAATAAAGATCCTGAAATTCTTCGACAATCAATAATTGATCTTATATCGAATGTTATGCAAAATGTTATATCATGTAATTATACTTCAATTGCATTTCCAGCTATTGGATGTGGAAAACATGCTTGTTCTGTTGATATTGTTGTTAAAACAATGATTAGAGAAGTAAAAAAACAAATACAAACAAGAAAATTATCATGTTTAGTTAAATTTATTATTGAATCTAATCAACAAAATATTTATGATGAATTTTGTAAACAACTTTTTTCATCAAGTAAAACTAGAACATATATATTCATAGATGTTTTTTTTTTCGTTATGTATTTATTTGTGATTCTTTCTATAGATTTTCCTACATCAATGGAATTTCATTTACCTGCAACATGGCAAATATCAAAAGAAAATAAAAAAAGACACATTGTATCTAAAGATACTGATGAATATAAATCTATTTTTAACCAATTCGATGAAGCCATGAAAAAAGGATATAAAAAAATTATAAAAATTGAACGAATTCAAAATGAACGATGGTTTATGCAATATA